CTTGCAGATGATATATCACTGCCACCTCAAAAATACAAGAGACTCAAGTGATGAACATTTTTAGCTAGCTAGAGAGTTTCGCAGGTGCACTGTTCATATTAGCTACTATTTTATTTATTTACATATTTATTTGCATTTCTTAAGCTGTCATTGGCTTACTTCAGATTGCTTTACCAGTAGTTAATTTCTTGAAACACATTGAGCCAAAAAGACCTTACAGACCCAGCACTGGCTGAGGAGTTGATATCCCAGTAGCAAAGAGTACAGTACCACTCTCTGCAGAAACAAGGAGGGCACCTGGAAGGAAGAAACGGCTGATTCCCAGTGTGAGGAAGGAAAAGAACAAGACACTGGAATACCCTCTTGTGCCAGAAACTAAATGTTCAAAAAATGACATGAACATGATAATGTCATGAATACAAAGAAAGTCTCAGGAACTACTGAGTATTAAAGGAAACCAAAAAGACACGACAACTGAATGCCATGCATGACCCTGGATTTTTTCTCACTTTGAGTTATGAAGACCATTATTGGAACAAACAACTAAATCTAAATAAAGCCTAAGCTTAGATAATAGTATTATATTAATACTAACTGCCTGATTTTGGTTAACTCTGGTTATCTAATGTTCTTGCTTTTAGAAAATACTGTAGTACGTAGAGGCAAAAGGGTACATGCCTGCAACTTATCCTCAATTCAAGGAAAAAAAGTATATTATGGGGTGATGGAGGGAGGGAGGGAGGGGGAGAAAGGAAAAGGACAACAAAACAAATGTTATAAACATTTGAGGAATCTGGATGAAGGGTATATGAGAATTTCTTATGTTATTCTTGCATCTTTTCTAAGTATGAAATCATGTCAAAAGAAACAAAACAACCCAGCAACACAGGATCAGGCAATAGCTTAAAAAGCAAACATGCTGACTTAGCTTTTCTAGCTAAATTACATTTCTGATAATTATTTCAAAAGATCTTGCTGGGGGCAGAGGATATGGCTCAAGTGGTAGAGTTCATGTTTGACATATAGAGCCACTTGGGTTTAATTCCCAGTAGTTCCTCTAAAAATAAGTAAATAGGTGAACCTAATTACCTCCCTCCAATTAAAAAAATTAAAAAAAAAAGATTCTGCTAAACAAAGTATTGGCGTAAAACTACTCTGGAGGAATGCTGAGATTACCTGAGGTATGCTTTCTAGGATTCTGATTAAAATAATTAGATTTCAAACCATTTGAACCTGTTCAAACAGGCAAAAACAAACAAACAAACAAAAAAACCTCCAAAACAAAAAAAATCCCACCCTATTTTCAGTTAAAATCATAATAAAATCTAGTAAGGTAGTTGTAAATAATTCAGTACAACTTACATTGCCCTATCAAGTGTCAAAATGTTCTGTAAAAACTCCAGAACAGAATTATACTAAGCATAAGAAACCAGACACAAAAAGAGTTTGTCTTGAACTGGTTCTATTTCACATGAAGTTCTAGAATAGGCAAAACTAATCTACGGTCAAAGTAAATACAATTTTTGCTGGGGGGGGTGAGGGAACTGATACGGAGTGTGACTGGGCAAGGGAACGAGGAACCTGACAAAAATGCTCCGTATTTTGATACCTACTTACCACATCTCATATGCAAAAATTCCAAGTGAATTCAAAACAAAACCATAAATACTACTGTATAACGCAGAATGATTTTTAAAGATAACTTCAAAGCAAAGGAGGGCCTTTAAAAATACAACATAAAATCTAGCAGCCGTACAGAACAAGTTGACTGTGCTGCATGTGTTAGTATTAAATATTAAAGCTTTAATGACCAAAACATTATAAACAAGTTAAGTCAAATGACAGACTGGGAAAAAACAATTGTGACAATTTATATAGAGAAAGTCCTCAAAGCCAATAAGGTCAACAATCCAGCAGAAAAATGGGCAAAGGGCATGAAAAGGCAATTCAGAAAATACAGATGGCCAAACATTAGAAACTACGCAATTTGTGAAGAAATGTCAATGGAAACTTTACCTGTGGGAAAATTCAGATAAATCCTACGAAATACTTCTATGAGGCAACATTTTAAAAGATAAATAATATTCAGTGGTAAGTGAGAGTTTAAAGGAACAGGCACCCTCCCCTGCCCCTAATGTTGGCAGATATCAACCAGTATAGCCTGCTGGAGAGCAATTTGTTAGTAACTCCACTTTTTAAAAAAATTTTTTGGTGGGGGGAGGTAATTAGGTTTATTTATTTATTTTTCACAGGAGGTACTGGGGACTGAACCAGGACCTCCTGCATACTAAGCATGTGCTCCACCACTTGAGCTATACCCTCCCTGTGAGTAGCTATTTTTAAAATAAAATGCACATATCCTTTGACCCTAGAATTCTACAAAGTTAACTAAAACATATTCCTTTAGTGAAGATATTCCTGGTTCATGGGAACGCTGAAAACTGGAAATGTCAAGTGAAAACTGGAATGAACCTCAACCGTCCAGTAATAAGGAGACTGATGAGCTCAACTGTGGTACAATCATATGAAGGATTACTACTTGGCTGTTAAAGAATGAGGTCTTTTTATTTTCAGCACTGTGGAAAAATGTCCTTAAAAATGCTAAGAGAAAAAAGCAAATTAGCAAATATTTTGTATAGTAGAGAAAAATATACGTAGGTGTGCCCACATTTTTCTGTATTTATTTTTAGGTGACTGCAAACACACAGAAAAGTCTGGAAAATATGCCCACACTTTTAATAATGTGTTGCCTCTTGAATGGTAAGGAATTTCAACATTTTACTTAATGCATAGTTGTATTTCTAAAAACCTTAGTACAAGTATTTCTTTTCCTATTAAAAGGGGGAAAAAAGCAGAAAAAGAGATCCACAAACTGTTCCCCCTGCACCCCTGCCATGATTGTCTCTGTTGATTTTTTAGTAATCTTTGCTTGGGCAAACCCAAAAATGCACGATGTACTGTGTGTGGGCAACAGAAGTGACTTCATTCCAAAGGGACATCACTGACTGCTGCTCTCTCAGAGCTTGTACCCCAATGCAGCTGACATCAGTGCTTGCCTCTAGATATTTCACACCCAATTCTCCACCACTGGCCAAGCAACATGAATATTTCATTTGGTCTGGGGCAGAACAACAAAGACTCCAGTTGCCAAGAGAACTTTCAGACTAGTCCAAATGCCTAGTTTTAGTTGATTCTTTCTTAAAACAGTAGTTGAAATGTGTCACTGAATTAAATTAGTAATTCAATGAGTAAATACTAAGCCAGAAGAAAGACAAGGAAGACACAGCCCATGTCCTCAACAATCTGATTATGACATAAGGCAGGATGACATAAATGTTAAAACTTGTATCAGGAACTAGGCCACAGCAGTGCAGGGGACCTCAGGAGAGAAGGGCTGCTACTGGTGGGATCAAGAGATTGTCTCCTGATGAACAAGGACTTGAATGCAGACAGATGAGAAAGAGGAGTGGGTGGAGCACATAGGCTAAGGCTCAGAGGGCCAAGGAAGTAAACTACAGGTGTGGGACCTGATTAAAGGTGAATGAAACAGAGGAAGGTGGTGGGGGAGGAAGTGGGAAGGGAAGGTTTGGGGCAGATGGTGAGGATCATTAACATCATGTAGAATTTGGCTTTTATCCAGTAGGCAGTTTTTAAAAGTTATGTCTGTAAAAGTGACAACTCTGTTTTGGCAGGTGATATTTAAAAGGGAAGTTATTTCCCACACATCAGACCAACAGGAGACTCAAGTAGTCCTAAACACTCTCTACTTAAGGAAAGTTAAGGGTCTGGATAAGGAAAAGCTGCTAAGAACACTACAGAAGAAAATGAGCAGAGGTACAAATACCCCATCCATCTTCTGAATTCCCAAGTACCATGGAAAAAGAATACAGTGGAAAGATCTTGAAAGAAAATGCAAACCTCCATCCAAGGCCCTTTTGATTCACAGGGCAGTTCACAGCCATTTAACAGATGAAGTTAGTTTTGAAAGCAGCTCTTCACATTAGCAATGCTTATAAAATACCTTTGCTGGATCTTTTTGATGTCTTCTTGTTTCCTTCAGAGGTAATTTCAATTTCATCAGGATTACCTCCTTCATCTTCAATTGCCTAAAGGGAAGTAAAAAGAAAGTTCACCCAACAAAGCAGCACACAGACTTGACTTTCACAGAAGCTGTAGGTTGCTGATCTGGAAAGGGCCTCTCTCCACCTGTTCATTTGTTTGCTAGTTCTTTCTCTACATTGAAGCAAGGGCTCTGGAGTCAGACTGACTCTACCAGATCTTAGCTGCATGGTCTTACATGGGCTTACTTAATTGCTGAGTTTGTTTTTTACTCTGGGACATAGTACTAATAAAAGTTCTTACCCTGGAAGGCTGTTGTGAAAATTCTTATCGATGTAAAGCAAGCACTCACCAAACATTAGGTTTATTTTTTAGTATTATCACCACAATCTGATTCATTTTATTTCTGGGCCCAAAGGAACTCAAAAAAGGAAAGGCACTCTCTCCAATTACCTATAACTTCACCCAACAATGTGCTGTTTGACCCGCTCTGACCCCCTCTCCATGCCACATCTGTACTCAGCACTGCCTGGACTGAATACTAGCACTTGCTGGCTGAGTTCCTGCTGTGCATAACGTGGGAGGGGACATGATATGTATTACCTTATCCCATCACACGTATCTATGACTCCAACGGTCTTACTCTCAACCACTAAGTGACCTGCTTCATAGGATACAGAAGTATATGGCCTCTTGGCAAGTTCCACACAAAGAGTCTGTCACTTGGAAAGCCCCCACCCATGCTCAGCACTGTGCCAGGTACCAAGGAGACACTGTGGGGGCAGCAGGAGTACCCAACACGTCAATGCTGACATCCTTACATATTGGGCTTCATGTTTAGATTTTATTGATAACCCTTTCTCTCTACTGGACTGTCCGGTGAACGTAAGTTCTGTTTAAACCCATTTCAAATACTGTTTTATTTGTAGGCAGTTTCAGAAGTTTCAAAGATTCTCAGGAGTTTCCAGCTTAGTGAAGTCTAAATTTAGAATAGGACCTGATGGCTCCACACCTAACCTGTATCAGGACCAAAGAAAACCTCTCCCTTCTCTATAAAGCCAGAACAAGGAAGAACTGGAGTTCTGCCCTGGGATCAAGGAAAGCATGAACAGAAAGCCCCTCACTCTCTTCCTGGGGGACAGAAGATTCTGAAATACCACTAGGAGAATACAAGAACTACCCCAGACAAGAGGGTACCAGTTCGCCCCTCAGCGAGTCTCCTCTGGTGTAGTGTTTACAGGGTCGTCCCTGGGGGGATCTGTGGACTATGAGTCATCCTTATACGCCTCGACAAATTAACCTTGTATGTTCCCTCCACCTTTTCCTCTCTTGCCCTTCCCTAGAAAAAAATTAAAATTTGATTGACAGCCATAGAAGAGAAAAGATCGTATTTCCAGACTTGCTTGACAGGGTAGGAGATGGGGGTATATGCTGATGGCATTTATGTTTTGTCAGCACATCCCTAAGAAACTGAAAAGAAGGAAAAAGGGATGGATTTGTCCTCTCAGAGATGACAGTGATGGAAGATGTCTGAAGCCACATACCAGTCTCAGCCCTCAGCCTGATAAGAAGATTCAATGCTATCACATCAGCATTGCAGGCTTGCAGATTGTCCGGGGAGAAAACATAAAGCCCTCCAATTTGGCTTTGTTGATAAGAGGCCCTGGTGGCTGCTAAGAACACGGGCCACATCTCCCCTGGTACCAACGGTCACCCGGCTTGCATCTCCAGGTAAACATCTTGGTCAATGAATTGCTTGTCCATTCTGGCTAAAGGAAGTTAGTATCCATAGTGAAAGAAACACAGGCTCGAGTAAAAGCCTAACTGACCCAGGTCAAATAACTCGGCACTCTCAAGCCTGAGCTGCTTCCTCCAGATAACAGGAAATAATCCTTACTTCCTCTAAATTGCAATTAATAAATAAAACCCCATCCTCAGTTTGGGAGGCATGAGGGCGGAATGAGTCACAAACCGCACTGTCTGCAGGGGTTGGGGGGGCGGTGCGGGGATAGGTGGCGAGGCTGAGAGATTCCGCAGGAGAAAGCCCAAGACAAGAGGAGCTAGACAGCAAAAAGGCAAAGAAAGAAGCCACAGGGATACGGCAGGCACAGGTGAAGAAAAAGGACACATTTACTTCACTCTGTGCTTTGCGCACGCACCCCCCAGAACCCTTCAAGGTACGGGCTAGAACTCTTCTTGCAAATCACAAATGATGGCAGCGAGAGAAAAGGGAATTGCGACAGCGATCGTATCTCGAGTGTTTACACGCGCCAGGTAACACGCCAAGACCGTTTGTTGCCATCTTACTTAATCCTAACACGAAAGACCTATTACTTTCTTCTGACGAGAAGAAACAGGCTCAGAGACGATTAAGTGTCTTCTATGCTCAAGATCGGGCCATTGAGACCAGCAGAGCCCACCCTCTGCCTTCCTTTAGGTCCTCATCAAGTCTAACTGTATTCTACATTTCTGGTCGCTCTCACAAACAGTACTTTCCCTCCCATGCTATTTCCGCGAGCCCGTGCCGGCAAATCCATAAGCCGTTTTTCCCCCCTTTAAATGTTTTCTCGACATGTTTACCTTGTAAATTGACCCCCTATTCAAGGATTCTAGGCCCTAACGGATCAAGGAGCATCTACCTCCCTGGAGGAGATCCCCGCCGCCAGCTCTGGCTCAGGAAATTAGCCGGCCTGGGTTCAAATCCCGACCTCCCCTCCCCGGCCGAGTGACCTTGGCCAAGTCCCCCAACGCCGCGTAGTGAGTGAGGATTTCAAGGTTCGGTGTCCACTTTGAGAGGCTGGGGTGAAACAAGCCGAAAAAAGCCCTCGGCGCAGTGGCCGATGTCTCCCGTCACCCGAAACTTCCCTTGTTCGCGTCAAGATTCTATTTCTCTTTCTCTCTCCCCGAAGCGGCGCTGGGCTTTGAACCTGGGCCGCGCTGGGCTCCGAGCTCCCGCCGGGGCCTGGGAGGAGCCGGGAGAAACCCCGAGCGCCAGGCCCCCCGCAGGCCGCAAACGGGGCCGGGGGCGGACCCTGAGGCCAGGAGACCCCCGCTGCGGCCGGGGGGAGGGTCCCTCGACCCACCTCCTGCCCACCCCCAGGGCCCTGGCTCCACCTTTTTCAGCCGCTCCATCAAAACGCTCTTGTTGCCGCTCGAGTCCAGATTCCGTTTCCTCAGCTCCGCCCGCAGATCGATCACCCGCAGGTCGCTGAGGCGCCGCGTCCCGGTCTCCGACGAGGCGGAGCTCAGAGCCGCTGCGCCCGCCGCACCCGAATCGCCTAGGCCTGACAGAGTCTCCGCCATTCCAGGGACCCTGGCTCCGCCGCCCACTTCACACAGAACCAGCCGGATTTACCTCGGCTCCTAGCACAAAATGGCGCCGCCTGCGAGGGAACCGCTCCAGCCGCCCCAGCGCACCTCTCTTCTGCGCAGGCGCACCCGGCGCGGGTTCGACGCTCCCTGTCGCGTCTGCCCATGCGTGGTGAGAGGCCTGGAGGTTGTGCGCAGACGCGTTGAGTCTCACTGGCCTCCCGCCGCGAACCGCCGGGGCACATGCGTGCTGCAGTTACGGCGCCTGCGCGTTGTGGTGGGGCACTTGCGGTTGGTCGACACGCGAGCGTGCTTGCTGCTAAGAACCCTGGTAGGTGCGGCACGCATGCGCGGCCGGAAAACGGGGCGGGAGAAAGCGAGTGCGTTTTCCTCTCTGGCGGCGCCATTTTGTGCTTAGAGCCGCTACAGCCGCCGGCGGTGTGGGGAGTAGGTGGCGGAGACGGGAATCCCGGGATGGCGGAGACTCTGGCAGGGTCCGGCGACTCGGGTTCTGGCACGGCCGCTGTCATCTCGGGCGCCTCGGAGGTCGGGACGCGGCGGCTCAGCGACTTGCGGGTCATCGATCTGCGGGCGGAGCTGAAGAAGCGGAACCTGGACACGGGCGGCAACAAGAGCGTCCTGATGGAGCGGCTCAAGAAGGTGAGGCGGCCCGGAGCCCCGAGGTGGTGCAGGAGGCCGGGGCACTCCCCTTCGCGGGCCTGTCACAGCGACTCCTGGGTCCGGGGCGTCCCGGCCCGCTTCTCTTGTGGCCGACCCCTGCCCGAGCTGTCACGGACCGGGGGGCCCGGCTGTGTGACCTTGGCCCGTCACCGCCTCTGTCTTGCCTTCTACCCTCCCTCCAGTCAGTCGCCTCAGGTGCTCCAAAAGCCTAACTGAGCCCCTGGGTGGCCCCGGGACTCCTCCTGGGGCTCGGGTTGAGGCTCGGCTGTGTGACCTTGGATAAGTGCCTTTCCTTCCCTGCGCCTCAGTTTCCTCCCCCTGAGGAGCGGTTGACTGAAGCTTTTTCGAGGTTTCACAGGAAAGAAGGCTGTGCTTGTTCTTGCCCCGGGACCTTTGCACTTGCCGTGCCCCTCGCCTGGGTGTTCTCCCAGGTCGCCTTCTGGCTGGCGCCTTGTCATTTGGGTCCGTCTGGGATGTCTCCTCCCCGACCACCCTTCCTAAGTGTTGCTCCAGCCCCTTGATTTTCTGTATCGCCCCATCCTGTGTTTATGCGTTACCTCGTAGTACTTAATACAAAGTTGGGGAGGGAAGGAGAGGGCTGGATTGTCGTCTCCCCAGTCAGAACAAGCTCCTTGAGGGTGGGGACTTTGTGAGTTAAGCTCTGAGTCCCAGTCCTGCGGAAGGCACTAGATACCTGTTGAGGAACCACCCGCCTTCTCCCTACCCAAGCTGTTTGGTGTTCTTTCTCCGTAGAGGTCAAAGGTGGCCCGTTGAACAGCAGTCAGCCCTTTGCCCATGCCAGACCAGTGCAGCCTCTCTGTTACCTTGTTAACTTCAAGTAGAGGCAGTTTGGAGGTTAGGGGCCATCTTGGAATTCTCTGACCCTGGATTCTGGAGCCCTACTCTCACACCTCTTCGTCTTTTGGGTGAGGGCTGCAGAGAGAACCGTAAGGTTATGCGGGGTTCATCCTGTGCATTTTGGGCTTGCAGCCCAGATCGCAGAACCAGAGTTGCTCTTTGCACGGAAGGGTTTGCCTTTGTTTGCTGGGAAGTTGTTACTTACAGAGGACAGTGTGTGCCCTGCAGCTCTTAATAATATAAAATGTATCTCTTCCTAATAGGCGGTTAAGGAAGAAGGACAGGATCCTGATGAAATTGGCATTGCGTTGGAAGCCACAAGCAAGAAGACTGCAAAGAGATGTGTTAAAGGTATCCGCTTGTACTTACTGCGGCTTGGAGGCTCCGCCTTCAGAGAGCTTAGCTAGAGAACTGGTATTTTAGCATTCTCCCTGTCCTCCAAGTCAGGAGACCTCCTTTGGTCCTGACTGTCCTCCATCTAACAGGCTTGCTTTTTCACCACCTAACGTGTAGCTTTGTCAGGGTCCTAGGGAGAAATAAAGAGATCTGTGGGTGCCAAGTAAAATTAAAATACATACTGAAAACATCTTAGCTCTTGTCATTGGAAAAAGAACTAGAGTAAGGCACACTCTTAAAGCTGCCCCAGCTGGTCTGAGCAACCAAATGCGTCTGCTTGGCTTCCTTCCTGGTTCAAAAAATAGGTCTTAAACCAAGGAAAACGGCACCAACCTGAGACCAGCTTCTCTAGGGTCCAGAATAGATTGTTGGAGTATTTGCACTCAGCCTGTGTTTTACCACTATGATTTTTTTTTATTCAGATATAATTCACCTACTCTAAAATTCACCTGTTCAAAGTATATAATGTGCTTTTCAATGTATTCACAAAGCTATGCAACCATCACCACTTTCTAATTCTAGAACATTTTCATCACCCCAAGAAGAACCACCCATGCCCATCAGCAATTTCCATGTCCCCGTCCCCCACCCCTAGCAATATCTAATTGAGGTTCTGTCTCTAAGGATTTGCTAATTTTGGACATTTCATATAAATAGAATCATATAATACGGCCTTTTGTGTATGGATTCTTTCACTGAGCATCATGTTTTCAAGATTCATCTGTAGTATAACATATCAGTGCTTCATTCCTTTTAATGGCTGATAGTTATTTTGGAAAGCATTTAATTCCATAAGACTTTGAAACCTCATTAGCTATCATCCCCATTGTCCGATTTTACTGTGATAGGGACAATATAATTTGAAGCTCCTGTATGATGGGCTTGTTTTTCTTGCAAAGTGCAGCACAAAAATTCTCACAGCTGTACATGTCCCATTCATCTAAAGAACTGCCAACTTCAGGCGATGGAATACAACTGCTTAGAAAGTAAAAAGAAATGATTTCATAGCAAGACAACTTTTCCAGAACTCATCTAACTAAATCTTGTGCATGTGTTTTGAAAGGTTAAACTTTCGAGTTAGATTACATAAGGGCTTTAAGTTTAAATTTTAAAATATTGGTGTGTGTGTGCTGCTCATCAAAATGTCCTTATTTCAGTTGTAAACACTGACTATCCAAACAAATACAGACTGCGAGAGATGGGTCTATAGCAGGAGACATACAGATTCCTCTTTATGCTTTGCTGTTAAGTTATCCAGCAAAAAATCCGATCTGAAAGTCTGATTTTGAATAGCTGGAGCAATTTAAAATATAAAGTTTAAAACTATGTAGATGCTCATTTAGAGTTGTGAGGTTCAAAGCTTATTAATCAAAATATTCTTGGCTCCTAACAGATCTTTGAATCATTAGAAAAACTAAACCTTGGCTGAGTGCTTCAAATACTTGTCTGAATGTCTGGGTTAAAGCATAGGTCAAATCAAAGCTATTTGGAGTTAGCATTTTGTCAGAAAAGCTTGATACTAGTTGGTTCCATTGGTATGAAGGGAGCGTTTGTACCAGTACAGCTCTAAGTGGGATCTGGGACTAGAAGGGCACGGGTCCCTTCCCCTTCTTTTTTCAGAGAAGTCACCAAAGCCCAGGGAAGAAACAGGTGGCTGGGGTCCTGAGGCAGAGGACAGCTCCTGCAGGTTGCAGATCCAGTGTGTTCTTTGGAGGTGTCCGGGCACATGGTTAGTTAATAGGAGTACTCCTCATGGTGTCCTGATGAAATTAAGTCCTCGAGACTAGCAGGAATCAACCAGTAGATTCCCAGCATCTGCCACAAAGTTGGGCTAATTCTGGGAGTTCATGAGTAACTGCTACCTTTCAAAAGTAGAGGGTAGCTAAACTTTTCTGAGAGAAAATTTTGTTGTAAATCAGAACAAGAGTTCTCTCCCCAGCTCATCTAAACAGGCAAAATTGTTGGAAACTGTTGGTATGTTTTGAAAGATTAAAATTGAATTAGGTTGTGTTAGGGATTAAATTTAATTTTCTGGTGTTTATGTCCCCTGCAGCCACCCTCCCCCCCCCCCAGCTTTTAGTCAGCCAAGACAGGCCCTTGGGATTGGGGTGCAGCCTGTCTGCCATTCCCACTCCCACTCAGGATGTTTTTTGGTGAAGCTTTTTGCTTCATCTCTCCTATTAACATCATTTTTAAACAGTGCATTTCAAAGGACATGCTGGGTTTAGATATGATTGGAGATGGTACAGATGTAGTTTTTGAGTCCCAGCTTTGGAGTGGAACCAAATTCTTGTATCAAGTGCTGAAGATAAACCTGCTAGCATTGTGGGGAGTATTAAATAATGTGAAGAGCACAGTGTCCAACATGTCCTCTTGTGAGAAATTGTTGATGATAGTGGGGAATGAGATGCTTAAGGTGTAGATTTTGCAGTTGGCATCTTTAATCAAAGATTGAAGTTTCTTAACATTTAATTTTCTCATTTAAAAAATTTTTACATTTTCCAAAGTATCTAAAAGTATGTACGGGAAAATGAGAGTCTCTCTTATAGCTCAGTTCCTTAACCACGGCTGATGGATTGCCTTAGTCACATCCATCTGTATGTTATACAAGTGCACCTTCACACTTGCACGTATAAATAGATCTATGTGGGTAACATTGTGGACGTTTTCCCATATCACTAAATATTCTTTAAAAGCATTTTTTTTTAAGTTGAGAAAGGTGTGTTATGCTACAGGGTTTTGCAGACTTGACACTGTTGACAGTTTGGACCGAGTGCTTTGTGGTAGAACACGGTCCTGTGAGTCATGGTGTGTTGGGCAGCATCCCTGGTCACTGTCTACTAGATGCAAACATCACTGCCAGCTGTGACATGAAAAACGTCTCCAGACATCACCAAATTACACCCCACTGACTCCCCATACCCATGTCCCGCATGTGAACAAAATGCAGCACAGTTTGCTTCCCTTTTGGATGTTTTATCTGTGTACACTCTATCGAAAGAATAAATGACCTTTGTTTTTAATTTCTTGTCATTTTGGTGCACATCCTAATGGAAATTCCAGAATAAAATTTATGTGCATTTTTAAGGCTTTTGAAACATAGGGAACCCAAAGATTTTACTTCCATTCTGAGTCAAGAAGTTTCCACCCTCCTCTATCATCCTTTTTGGGGATACCTAGCATTAACTCTCAATAGTTGCTTTGCAGTCACAAAACCCAGGATGAACACTGACTTTATGGTAGCCTTTACCTTTTTGCCTTGCAAAAAGTTCTTGGGCTAAAGAGTGATGAAAGGCAGGGAGCCTGTTTGCAATGGGTGCGGCATAGGGGACGCAGCAGATCTGTCGTCCAGCATGCTGGCTTTGGTTGTGGTTCTTTGGGTACTGTCTAAACATACGTTTTTTAGTTTTTTTAGTTTAGTTTAGAAGTGCCTGTGTTTACTTCTTGCTCATTTTTCTTCTGGGATGTTGGTTTGGAGTAGTTTTGAAATCTTTTGATGGTCTGGATATTTTGTCTAAAATCAAAATACTTTCATAGTATTACAGAAATTCAGATTTTCATGTTCCAATTGAGACCGAACCATGTGTTGTAGAAGAACAGGCACGTTTAGTTTCCTTATATGTTCTCACCAAGATTGAACTGTGTCACCTTGATCAGCTAATTATGAGGCCAAAACCTGAGTGTTGTCTGATTGAATAATTATTCTGTAATTAGGACAAAAGATGGAGGAGGAAGGCACAGAAGACAATGGCTTGGAAGAAGATTCCAGAGACGGACAGGTATGTGACATCACAGTGGGGATGGTGGCAGGAGCTCCACGTCGTGGTCCACCTGGTCATTAACACCTTTCATTCGTCTTCACAGGAGGACATTGAAGCAAGTTTGGAGAGCTTGCAGAACATGGACATGATGGCTGTGAGTGTGTTAGAAGAGGCTGGAGTCGAGAACAGCAGTGCTCCAGACTTCGGGGAAGATGGCGCTGACAGCATTCTTGAGTCCCTCTGCGAGAGCAAAGAATACGTGGCTGCACAGCTGAGAGAGCTCCCCGCCCCGTTCACAGAACATGCTGTAGGTAACTCAGATGTGGGGCAGCGTCTGCAGCCCCGGGGTGCCTCGTGCTGTGTGCCGTCTCAGCCAGAACACACTGGTGATGGGTTAAATAATAGGCAGCTAAGTCACAGTCACCGTAGATAACACCTAATCCAGTGTCTAAACCTTGGGGTAAATTATATCCATTTACACTCCATGTAGGTCGTATGTTAACTGCTGGATTACTTCTCTGTAGTAATGGAGAATATTTTTATAATTGAGTGGGAAACGCTTTCTAAGCACAAGTTATAAAATGAAAGACTGACACAGTTGATAGAAGTGTTTTCCTTAAAAAAAAAAACTGTAGAAGATGAGAAAATAAAAAGTTTATGATCTCACCGTCCAGAGAATCCTGTTGATATTTTAAAAAAAATGTTTTCCATACATAAATCAGTTCAGACAGGCATATTAAAAGATGCAAAATACATTGAGGAAAAGTGTTTGTACCCCCACAGGAACTCCAATTAAAGGGGTCCGCTCTTTGCTTCATGTAAGGGTGGGGTTAGCTCTGTTACAGTGCTGCTTTCCCGGCATCTTAGTTTGATTTTATTTACTCGAGGCATCATAGCTTTAAACTGGGAGAAAAGTGCCCTTGTAGGACTGAACTTTAAATTTCAAAGGTCAAAAGTCACAATTTCCAGATAATCATTGCAACTCAGCCTACGCTAGCATCGAGCTTTGATTTGTCATCTCAGCGTGATCCTGTTGTGTGTAGTTATTTCTACAGCATGGACTTGGCTTCTAAGTCTTAGTTAATGGAAACATCCAGGTCATAAGTTTCAAACCTAGAAAAGGAAAAAAGAAAAATATTTGAGAAGGGATATTTTTGTATCTCACTTTAAAAAGGTAAAAAGCCTTCAAATTTAATAACTTTTAAGACAGCAGTTTTCCTTCTGTATAGTAGATAATAAAAAGAGGAAACAAGTTAAGTGTTTGTTTTAAATAATACTGTAGAAGAAAGTCCCCAGTGATTGTTAATTTAAGTGTTGTGTTACTACCAAGTGAACTGGGAGCAGCGTGAAGTTCATTTTGCTTTGAAGTCTGCTTTGAAAGTTCTGAGGCTGGGCAGTATGTGCTGACCACCAGCGTGTGGAAACTGCCTGGGAAATGAATTTGCCTCTTTGTTCATCTGGCTAGCACTGACAGCGCCAGCCCTCTGTGAGCCACTGTAAGAGGTGCTGGTGTCACCCAGTCCTAGAGTGGACAGGGAGGCAGGAGTTAAACTGAATACACCTTACCCCCCAGTTTTGTCTTCTGAGGTTTCAGTTATCAGCAGGCAACTGGAGTCCAAAAATACTAAACAGTTAGTTTTAAAGTGTGCAGTAGTGTGATGACACCTTGCACTGTCCTGCCTAGGATGCAGGTCATCTCTTGGTCCAGTTTATCCACGCATGCACATTGCTGCTTTGTGGTGTAGGGAAAACACAGTGCATATAGGGTCTGGTGCTTTAGTCATCCACTGGGGGGTTTGGAACAAACATACTCCCCGTGGCTAAGGGGGACTGCTGTCATCCACCAGTGGACTTGGAGATAGCAGTTGATACTGTGAAGGAAATAGACACGTAGGTGGCCTGGAAAGTGGTGAAGCGTAGGCCTTGGCATTCATAATTCTGTCTCCGCAAAGTAATCTTCCAGTTTTTTTCAGGTGGACGGGGAAGGCTTCGAGAACACTTTGGATACTTCGTCATTGGACTTCAAAGTACCTCCGGTAAGTTACCAGCTGGTTCTACATGGCTGGAAACTTGACGTGAGTGGTTAATTTTCCATAGTGGAAAAGAGAGTTTGTGTGTGCGCACACGGACATAAGTGTGTAAGACAATGCATTGAGCATTGGTCCTGAGCTAGGTGCTGGGGATAAGAGGCTGAGCCAGACTAGTCAGCATCAGGGTTTGCAGCCCAGTGGGCAGGGTGTTAATGACCAACAACAACATACCTAGAAGGGAAGTTCCACAAGGGAGAAGTTAGAAGTTCAGGTGATTGGGCTACAAAAGCACTAAAAGGCTTCCCAGAGAAAGTTCTGTTCAAATTAACGTCTGACAAGTCAGTTAGCTTGGTCAGGTGAAGGGGAAAAGAAGACTTGGGGAGAATGGCTCACTGTAGTGTTGGAGAATCTAGAGTGGGGACAGGGGTTGGGGTGGGGCTGAGGAGCAGGTGGGCCTGACCCTGGAGGTCCGAAATCTGATGGTCCTCGGTACTGTGCAGAGTCGGGGTCAGGGAGAGGTGTTAAGCAGAGTGGAGAAATGGTTTTGTTGACAGGTTCCAGTTATAAATGACAGTTCTGTATTGGGGAAAATACATTTTTCTCTAGTTTGGTGTGATGTGTGACCTCTACCTTGACTGTGGGAGTCTTTGCCAGTAACAGGGGCCATTAGGTGAACTACCCTTGGACCTAACGTGGCCCAGCGCCAAGGGGGGAAATGGATGGGCTGAGTATTCCTGCTGCCTAACTGCTTTTGCTGGGGAGAAACTGACAAAATGAGCTTGTCTTTGTTGAATTATGGAATGAAATGCACTGTTTTGAGTGGAGAAACACTTGTTTGGAACAAGCATTTATTCATATTTAATTGAAAGTTGTGTCTGCTAGGGAACTCTGTCCAGTTATTAAAATGCATTGTGCATTTACTTTTTCTTTTCTTTGTTTTAAATAGGATATTGAAGAACCTCTGTTGGAGCCAGGTACTGATAAGAGAAACACGACAGTTATGGTTTGAAAGTTTTCCTGCTATTTTTTCCAGGCTGTCTATATATTTTAAGCTGTGTATGGTCTTGTAAATTATTTTAATGGTGGACAATCCAGATCGTACAAGGATCAGAGATTGGAAACCCATTCGTATCACCAGATCTGTGGAAGTACCGTTCTGGTTTGTGGAGGTCAAATATATTTGGTGAGATGTAGTGATTATTTTCATCTCTAACCACATAGAGTGGCATTTAAGTAATTTCCCCCCCATGATTCTTCCATGTGTTTCTACACATGAAACAGATCTTGTGATATTTGCCGCAGTTGTTTTGATTAATGCAGTTAAGGCAGGACAAAGCGGTGGTCAGGGCATTTGTAACCTGAGAAGTGACTGGATTCCAGAAGAGGAATCGGAGTTTCTTCGTGAAAATTTCCAACATGTTGTTTCCCTTCTGGACTGCGTTTATCTCCTGCTGGCGGAAGAGATTCTGGTTTTCATGTTGGACTGTTCTGTTAAAAGAAATTCAAAGAAATTTGGAAATTGAGCTGTTCAGTGAATGGTGATTGCGTTCGATTCAGCACCTTGGACATTGGGAAAATGAGTCGAAGACCCAGACTTGAACAAAAACATAAAGAAGACTGTCGAGAAGCAGCCACACGGTTGTAGGTGTTTGAATCTGTGGGGG